CACAAAGTTCGGGTCGTAGCCAGCGTCCTGGCCTCCCTGCCGCTGAGCCTCGTCGTAGTTCGCCGGAGCAGCATCGTCGTACTCGTAGTTGCTCGGCATGACGAAATGCAACTGTGATTTCAGAAGGAACGAAACGGAGAATAGAGACCGGAAGGAGAAAGAACACTTCAGTGAATTAGGGTTTACAGAACAAAATCGATAACCGGGTTTTACCAATTCAATTGGTTTGGTTTTTATGAAATTCTCTGTTGTTTATTTATTATACCGAATTAGACCAAACTAAATCGAATTTTTCAATTTCTTCTCTCAGAAATGGCACAGCTTCTTCACCTTCACCATCTCTCCCTCCCTCAATCTTCTCTTCGTTTCAGATTCTCGCCGTTACCTTCCTTACATCATGGCCGTGAAGCTCCGCCGCCGAAAAGGCCTACCAACTGTCACCTCTCCTTAACTGAAACCACCGTGGTCCGTCCTCTCACCGTTGCCAGATCTCGGATAGCTTGCAGATTCAGCGAATCCGGTGAGATTTTACCTCAATTCAGTTTTCGATCTATTCTTCATAGCTCGAATTTGGATTTTTGATATTCGACTGCATTTCCTTTTGGTAATTCTTCACAATTGTGATGAATCTTGTTGTATCGTAATGGTCAATGGAATTGTATACTGATGTTTGTGATCATTTGTCAATAATGGTTCGCCTTATTCATACAATCAATTATTTCCTTTCGTCAGTATTATTCAGTAAGCATAGTTACTGTGAATGTATATTTTTCAGACATTACGCCACAATTTGAAGTGAGTAAAGCAGAAGAGAAGCGGAAACCACAAAAGCGAGCCAATGGCATATTTTGGATCATACTTATCAATCTTGGCATATATGTGGCAGATCACTTCTTTCAGGTATTGAACATGTGCTTGTATGTATCATTCACCTCTGCACAGTAAACGTTAAACATGTTCAAGAAAAGACTAGGAACCAGGGTTGGAGTTTGATCTTTGAAACTCTTTTCTTCAAGTTTGCAATACCGTAGCAGGTTTAATTCATTGAGTCTCTTTTCTTTGGATTAACCCAGTGATCAGAATGAGTTGTAGTTTGGTGAAACATCATGTTTTGGAAAAAGAGGTTTAAGCATAAGTTGCTACTTTTCACATTGTATAATACGTTTTGTATCCTTTATTCAATAGGTTCGCAGCATCAAATCTCTGTATTTGTATCACAATTTTCCGGCGTGGTACCAGTTTGTGACAGCAACATTCTGTCATGCTAACTGGTACGAGCTCTACGCTTTCTTTGACTGATTCACCTGCGTTTTTCTCTGGCTAATGGCCTAATGCTAATTCTATGTTGTTATTTTTTTTCGTAATATATTATAGGAACCATCTCTCCAGCAATCTTTTTTTCTTGTACATCTTTGGTGAGACTTCCAAATTTTCACATAGTTGGGCTAACTAGTTTATCAATTCAGAGCTAATGGACAATGGGACTCGTTCTGTGTTTAACAGGCAAGCTTGTTGAAGAAGAAGAAGGAGGCTTTGGTTTGTGGCTATCTTACTTGTTCACTGGTGTTGGAGCTAACCTAGTTTCTTGGTTAGTTTTACCGAGAAATGCAGTTTCTGTTGGAGCCTCGGGAGCTGTTTTTGGGTTATTTGCTATCAGTGTCCTTGTCAAGGTACCATATTTCTCTTTCTCTTCCCTGCTCCAGGTCCTTGTAAATTAACCAGCAGTAACTTTTTTTTGTTTCTAATTTCAACTTCTTTTAAAACTGATTTTGTAGATGTCTTGGGATTGGAGGAAAATCCTTGAAGTTCTTATATTGGGCCAGTTCGTTGTTGAGAGGGTAAGAATTGCTCAACATTTATGCATAGCATCAGTATGGTTATAACTGATTTTCCTACTTGCATTCCCATTTTGTTATGGAAAAAATGCCTTTAGGATTTTACAATTGGTGATAGATATCAGAGGACGGTAATCTTATATTTCATTGTTTCTCATAGGTAATGGAAGCAGCTCAGGCTTCAGCTGGATTATCAGGAACTATATATGGTGGCTATTCTCTGCAGACTGTTAATCACATTGCGCACCTCTCGGGTGCTCTTGTTGGTGTTGTCTTAGTTTGGCTTCTCAGCAAATTTCCCTCGGAACCTGCGGGTCAAGAAGTAAAAAAATCTCCCAAAAAGTGAGGAGAAAATCGGTATGACTTTTTCTTGTAAGGTACATATGCTGTCTGAGTAAGCACAAGGCTGATGAAATGATAGATAGGGTTAAAAGAATCTTTGTAAAACTGAAAAACCGGCTCTAAACCGAGTTTCTGTGAGTACTAATACTTTTGCAGCAGAATTTTATCAGTGGTTTGTCTATAGAAGGGTTCTTCTCCAAATGTGAGTCTGCAGCTATTAGAAACAGAAACTGTACACAAGATTTTATAACACGATTCAGTTGCAATATACATAGAGTGAGTTCTTAGAGTATTGACTCTTGATTTCAACAGAAGAATAGAAAATAAAATCTCTGGCTTCAGCCGAAGCTAGTTTTAGACTTTTAATTCAAGAACACTGTACAAGAATGCACAAACTGCCCACTGATCCCATACTGAGCTTGGTACTGCTTCTGGCATATAATTGGCACTCGAGCTCCGAGTTTGCAAGCAGAAAGGTTCATGGCTTTTGCAGTTGGAAGCTCCCGTTTCCCTACTGGAATCTGTAGTAGATTAAAATTCCCGGAGGACTGTTTCTGGTAAAGCTTCTCTAATCTCGCTATCTCTACGTCTTTACATTTCAATGCGTTGATTGCTTTGTTCGAGTCATCAGTGAGTCCTGCAACACGCCAAGCTTCTGCTAACAGCATGAAGGTGGAATTCTCAGGCTTCACACCAAACTCTCTCATCATCTGCAAAACCTCTTCCGCTTTCCATGGTTGTTTCACTTCCAGGTAACCCCACATCAACGTCTCAAACGTCTTTATATTTGGTGAAATCCCAAACTCGCACATCTTGTTGAAAACCCTCATCGCATCATCCATACTTCCACTGCTGCACCACCCGCTGATCACTGTGGTGAAGATCACAACGTTGGGCCTGGATTCAACCATCGTCTCAAGAAGCTCCTCAGCTTTCTTGGGCTCTTTAGCCCTGATGTATCCTTTGGCTAAAATGCTGTAAGCATGAGCGTCTGGTTTGACTCCTGCTTTAACCATCTCTTCAAACACTTGGGCAGCTTTCTCCATGTATCCAGCTGAGCTCCAAGCGTTCATCACAGTGCTGTACGTGATTACATCTGCCTTCACCTTACACTCCTTCATCAAGTCAAGAACCTGCACTTTCGTTTTCATTACCAACCCGAGCTGAGAATGAGAACCAATAAAGTTTTAAATTTACCTCATTGATGCCGTCACGGTCCATGACCTCAACGAAGCCTTTGATCAAGGAATTGAAGACCACAAGGTTCGCTTCAACTCCCATTTCCTTCATCCTCCGCACAAACCTCAAACCATCTCTCACTTTCCCTTCTCTGCAATACCCTCCCACCACAATACCACACGTTCTCCCGTTCGGTTTAGCCTTCTCCTTCATAACCATCTTCTCGACCACCTCTCTCTCAGCTCTCTTGGTCTCTCCTTTCTGCACATAACAAGTTGCAATCGTGTTATACGTCACTGTGTCCGGCCTGACTCCACATTCTTCCATCTTATGCACCACTTTCCAAGCTTCCTCCACCTTCTTCTTCTTGCACCAGGCTTGTACCAGCACATTGAATGTCCTTATATTCGGTCTAACCTCGATGCTGTTCTCCTCCAACATTAGATCCAGCAGGTCGGATGATCTCTCGGGCCGACCTGCAATCCCGTACCCTTTGATCAAAGTGTTGTATGTGCTCGTGGTCGGATTAAGACCAAGCTCTTTCATTTTCAACAGAGCTTGCACAGCGTCTTCTATGTTACCCGACTCAGAGAAAGCATTAATAACAGCATTAAAGAAGATCGAGTCAGGCTTCGTCCCGCTCTGTTCCACCTCCGAGACTATAGAGCTTATCGAACTATACTGCTTCTGAACCGTCATTGCAGCTAGGAGAGTTGTGTAAGTGATCAAAGACGGTCTGTGTCCTGTCTCAGCCAATGTTTTGAAAACGGTTTGCGCCTCATGAGGCCGTCCTCGTTCGATCAAAACATTCATCAGCTTCGTTCTTGACCTCACTGTCCTGCAACTGACTCCTTCAACGCATGACTTGCAGTGATACTCTCGTCTTCCTTTGTTAACTGTAGTAGTCTGCAAAAAGAGTTTAAAAGCAAAGCCGTTTCGCTCACCAGAAGGTGGACTCGAGGGACATAGCTCTAATAACTCAAAAACAGTAATTTTGCATTTCGAAGAAATCATTAACAATGAAGTTGTCCAAAACTACGCAGAGTGACAAACATCAAGTGTTCAAAATCAGACAAAACTATATTAACAAGAAAATGGTTTTAACTCAAACACACAGAAGAGTCTTGAGATTTTGGTTACCTTAATCGGTGTGGATCTTTCTGCATCAGATTCAGACACAACAGGAGCTCTCTTCTCCTCATCGTAATCTCCCATGTTTTTTCGAGAAAGAATCTGACTCTGCAACGAATGTAATCTAAAGTTTCAAACAAATAACAAAATGAGTAAATCAATTTTAGAGATTGAAGCTAAGAAACGCCACATGTCTTTAACTTCTCATGTTC